GAAAGGAGAATACCTAAAGTGTGGTTCTAGAATTGTGACAATGATTAGAGAAGTCTAAGTAGCTACATTCAGTCCATGGCTAAATCTGAGTCCACAGTTAAAAAATGGAGATAGAAATCTGTGGGAGTCATTTGATGTTGTTTAAAGCCATATGAGTCCATGAGAGCATCTAGGGAGAAAGAACAGATATCTAGGATGATGCTGTGGGCCAGAATGACAATGAGACGTCATGGAAATGAGGTGAGATCAATTGCTGAGGATGGAAAAAGTAAGAGAGACTTGTGTACTCAAGGCAAAGAAAAGAAAGTATTGCAAGAATGTGGCCAACTCAAATTCTTCACACATTACCTTATTAACTATATTCTAACTCATCCTCAGAGCAGAACATTTCTTTGATAAATCCTCTCTGAGCAATCCTGGCTCAGACAGATGACCCTTGTCTATGTCCCCAAATCACAGGGCGGGCCTCAATTAAAATATTTATCAAAATGGTGACTCTAGCTGCGGCTTCTCTTCTCTGCCCTTGTTCCACACCCCTACCCCTCTTTTTTTTTTTTTTTTTTAAGAAGTTTGAGGGTGAGAAGTTTCCATTGGAATCCTTGGACCCTAGTAATAAATCTGACAAACAGGAAGGAGGATGGTAGATTTCATGAGAACCTACAGTGTATTAGGCAACATGTCAACAGCTTCATGATGGTTAACTTAGCTGCTCAAAAATGTTGATAAGAGAATAAAGGAAGTGTTGGATAAACAGCAGAAATTACACAGATGGTAGAAAAGAGCAAACCAGTGCATTGGGGGAGTCCTAGATGGAGACAGATGCATCAGGGTACCATAGTTTGATGACAGTAATGATCAAGATGACTCAGATAACTCTTCTTGTTCTCTTTCCAAACTTCTCAAACAAAATTCTCCAATATAATTATGTTTCCTTTATAAATTTTCCTATACAGTTAGAAGGTGTTGACTGGCAGACAAACATCCACTCCAACTAGCTGCTGTATTTCTCACTATGCATGAATAAAGTAGCGTTCTGTTGTAGAAATTAGTTTAAGATAAGTTAGGTTAGTGTGTTTCTTTTTGGATCTCTAGAGATGATCAGTCTCTTTGCTTTCTGTTTTTTGTTGATCATTAATGTGCCAAAATCATGTTGTGAGATCAAAATGGGATTGACTCTAGCAATCACCAAGAGCTTGTGATACAAGAAATCCAGGACACACATGCTGTGGGATTGACTGCTAAAAGAATATATGGATTGATTTTCATTTATTTTATCTCTGTTGACACACAATAACGGTCACAGTCATGATGCTCATATAATGGACTGGAGAGAGGTTGTTAGGCAATGAACCGAGCATAAAATGATATTTTGTCGTTGCCTCAAATTTGATCCATTTTCCTGACCTTGAGCTCATTACCTAGGCTGAAAAGTAGAATCCCAGAGCAACAACAATACATTTCAGATTTAAATCTATCATTTGTTAGCGTAGCCAGTCGAGGTAAGATGGATCAATTTGTGACGCTCTCACAAAATAGAGTTTGTATTCCTTTGAAGATCAAAATTTTAACTGTGCTGACATAGCTAAGGTGATTTTACTTGTTTCTAACAGGGTGTGAATTTGGTCTCTCCCTGGGATTCCTGCTCCATCTCTCTCTAAAGTTGAGTCAAAGAAAATTTTGGATAACATTATTTGGATCAGTGACATAAGGTAGATAAAAACTTCATCACAGTTCTCACTTTTTAAAAATGTGTTATTCATTATTACTTCCTCTATTTTTACTGACAACAGAGTTACTAATGCATTTGTCAATCTCTATAATCAAGGTAATAAGCCCTTGGGATTTTTATATCCTAAATATATCTCAAATATTAATTATTATATATTAATTAATATAAATCCTCTTCATGTCTACCACAACAGGCTTTGACTAGGCTCTTAATTTCTTTTATCATGGCTTATTGAAATAACTGTCACAGTACATCCAGTCTGATAGTTTTTATATTTATTATCATCCACATAGTATTGGATATAATCTACCCACAATGCAAAGTAGCTGGTGCCACTATTGTTTAGGGATACAGCCATCATTTCTTGGTTGCCCACAGAATAACAGCAAAGCCTCAGACCACAAGTATATGCTGAAACCCTGGGGAGAGAGCTGTCACCTGGGCCTCATACTTCTGAAGGGGACGGGATAACCCACTTCCTGGGAGCCAGGGGTAAGCTCTCCCCATAATGCCATGTACAGGTGCAGATTCCAAGAACTCTAAATTCAGGTTTTGTGTCCTCAGTCATTCTTAAGGTCTACTTTGTTAAGTCGGGATATATTTCATTTTTTGCTGGTTTTATTTATCACTTGTAAATGCTCAGACATGTGGGACACGTGTGGGATATTTGGATATTCCACGTGTGGAATGTCCAACACTTCTGGACATACAAGTGTTAAGCCTTCTGAATTTCCACATCAGCCCTTCATGGCCACAGCTCTACTGAATTCTTCAGCTCATTTCCAATGGCTAATTAGTGTGAAAGTTGATCATACAAATTAGGCCGTTTTTGTCATATCCAACTAAAACAGAGTCAAGAGGCCAGGGGTAAAAAACACTCAGGGCACAAGACATTGCTCCAGGAATGTAACTCTCTGCAAGCCCGGCTGCTGAAACTGCCTGTTGTAACCTGAAACCAGATTTACCTAACAGCTAGGAGACAACCTGCTGCAACTCTAAGACTAGCTATAACTGCTGCTGGTCACTCACCAATCAGAGCTTGCCAGTTGCCCAAAACTTTCTAGTGATAGTGAACTTTCTGGAAAAATGATATGCAACATGTCTCCTTTTTATTAAAACCTCCAGCCTCCTCTTTATTCTTCAGGCATACTGTATATGCCTTGAATTGCAATTCTTGTTTCCCAATAACATGGTGCATTTAGGCATTTGTCACTACATTTTATTTTGACTTCAATACTAGTCATGTTGTACTTACGGTGCAGTAATACTCTAAACGCCATGATATATAATATCCTCATGTTTTTGCTCATGCTGTTTTCTCTGATTGGAATGCTCAACTGCTTCGCTAATTCATTAATCTCTTACTGTACAGCTTGCAAATCATCACCTGTAAAAATGCCTCTTGACTTTTACATATTCAATCTTCCCACAGTATCCTATGCAAACTTCATTCTTATTACCACCTTATTATACTACATAGCTATTTGCGTAAAAAATCTAAAAAATATATAAACTTTTTAAAGGCAGTGTTAAAATCCTATTATTTATATTACTAACACTTACATATGTGCTGAACTGAACAGCATGGGTAAAAATACATGTTATTTCAAATTTCATTGTACCAATAAAGACAATTTCCTTGAAAATACTATTTACCAATTACTAAAGTTGAAAGCTAAGCAATATTACTTAAATAATAAAAAGCTTTTGTTAATTGTATGAAAGAATGCTCAATCTTTGGCAAAGCCATTCCTGCTTTTTAAGCATTCATTTTCTTTCCACAATGTAATATATACCAAATAATTATGACAGAGGTATTACAATGTAAAGTGCTATGAAAACTAAATTTTGCATAAAATTTTTGCATAAAATGTTGAAGCTACAAGTGCTTTACTGTATCAAAGTAAAATACCAATGATAGTTCCAAAGACACATAATTTTATATAAATTATACAAGATCAATAATCTTAAAATAATCTTAAATATGTAAATTAAATTGTGTTAAATTTATAATATTTGAAGAAAGTTGAGAGAAGCTATATTTTCAAATTTTAAATGTAATTATCCATTTGGTTTATGATTTTTATAATATCTGTAATACTTTATAATATTTAGTTTAGGATTTTATAATATTTATAACATATATTATAAATCATACTATAAAATATTGTTATTTATATTTAATATTTTATAAGATTTAGAAAAACTGTATTCTTTTCATTCAACATCTTATTTGAAACTTTAGAAAACAGCCCATTTTTAATGCCATATAATTTATATAATCTAGCTTTCCTCCAGCTATCACTATTGGTTGAACCCAATCAGTGAATCTGAGTCAGCACTAGTTCTTGACCAGCTACAATAAGGGAGCCAAGATATCAGCATCCTCAGTCATCCCTGGCCATTAAGTATCTTGCTTGGAATAAATACCAAAGTTTTAACACTATGCATTTCCTTAAACTGAGGATCTCAGCATCAGTCTTACTTATACCTGATGCACTGACCTACTTAGTGTTTTTGTCCGAGTTTCCTGGCTTACAATTCCTAGATTCTGATAGTACTGCATTTCTAGCCTTCACCATTCTTCTGCCTGAGTTGATATCCTAAAACCCTCTCAGCCTTATCTTCTCTTGCAAATCCCTATTCTCCACCTCTCATACATAGGAAAACCAGTTGCACTGAGAAGCAATTGATGCAACCACATGTCTGACTTTGGAAACTACCTATCACCAGGACTTTTCCCTAAGAATGGTGTCTCATTGAATGGGCAGACTGATTCCAACACGTTGAAGTTTGCCAAACCCTCTGCATTATCACGCTCTGTGTATTGTACGCTTAAGGGTTGCTTTCTCGGAGTCAGTTTGACAGTATTTAACCTCATGCATAGTTTTTCAGTCTTCAATCTCCCCAATAGCAGCTTTCTAACCAAACCCCACTGGCCTTTGGTTCTGGGGTCCTATCTTACCTTGTTTATGTGATTATGGTCCAACATTTATTCATACAAAATAAAAGAAGGGAGAATAGGGGGAATTTAGTAAGCAAATTTCAATTTTATGAACTATATGGATAACAAGGAAAGAAAAAATGAATTCCTTGAACAATCCGGCAAGATATGGCTTGAACGCCAGACAGTAACTAGATAGAATGACCATGAAAGTAGAAAAACACTGAAGTATGATTGGCCCATAGTCACACTATTATAATTAGGACTATTGATAGTTAGCAAACTGATTGCATGCTAAAGCATCTTATTTTATGGTATATATCTTACCTTAACTTCCACATGTGCCATCAGCACTGCAAAATTTGTTAGATGGTTACAAGAGCATGTAGTATGTGTCTTGTTTGTTGTCAGGAGCCGACAGCCCTGTGTTGACCAGTAGCCTGTCATTGTACGCTTGGAATAGCTCCAAAATGAACAGTTAGGGTTGAAATTTTCCTCTGACTGCTACAGGGGGAAAAAAAAAAATCAATAAAGCCAATAACTACCTTTTGATTGTGTAAATTAGGTAGGCATTTTCTTTACATCCAACACAACCTCATACTCTGTTCCAATTTTGGGGGAGATGTCTACCAGTGTTTTTATATTAAATCAGTTTAATCAATTCTAACCAAAATATATGTTGTTGTTTGTTCCATCTGATTAGAGGTGGATTCACTGTTTTTTAAATTATTAACATTAAAGAAATAGTGGTATCGATATTTCAGAATCATGTCAATTACTTTACATTGCTAAGTAAAGAAGTCAATTGCTCTAAAAAATTAAATTCTGAAATGAGGTCTTTAGAAATCTTTGTTGAATTTATTATACAACTGTAATTTTTGTATGTACACAAAAATATAACTTCACATAGGCATAATTGCTTGCAATATCACATATGAAACCACGCCCAGTTCCATTTAAGGTATCACTGTCCTTTTTTAAAAAAATAAGTTTTATTGTGTGCATTTAAGATACATAACATGATATTATAGAATACATATAGATAATCAAAAGCTTACTATAGTGAAGAAAATTAGCATATTCATTATTTCACAGTTATCCTTTTTTTTGTTTTTGTTTTTGTGGCAAGAACAGCCAAAATGTACTCATTTGGCATGAATCCTATTTATAGTATAATTTTATTACATATAGTCATACTGTACTTTATAGACTTGTGCTAACTCTTTTTAATTATGAAGAAGCATTTATACATTCATCTATGAATGTTTTTACCATAAGTGCTTATTAGTAGACATACAAGATTTATTCTCTTCTTCCAAATGTCACTTCAAAAAAAAAATCACCACTACATTTTATAGAAAATGAATCATTATGTTAAATAATAGAAAAACATTAAAAGAAAATATACTTAATATTCATGTTATAAGGAATATTTATATATGTAATATGAACAACTAAACTTAATATGCCATTGTCTTACCTTGATATGTTTAATAGTAAACACCACAGGATCAGCCAAATACACCTTATTACTGAACTCCTTATTTATTGCTGCTGTAATCACGGGGGAATTGACAATAACAGAATGATTTGTGGACATAGCTTCTGTTCCCAACTTCATACTGGCATTCTCCGTGGACAGATAAGGACCCAAATTGTTATACAAGACAAAGGCCACTCTGATTTCTCCTAAAAGAAAAGCAAACAGGAATTACAAACTGACAAAATCTCTGATTAGTTTGCACATTCTACTTAAATTAGTTGTTAGATGGTAAACAAACCTGTATAATATGTATTCATGCAAAAAATCAAGCGTTCATTTCAACCAAAGTGCCAAGTCATTCACAAGGAGACGAAAGTGAAATTGTGCTGAAACAACTACCTATCAGTATTTTAAAAAATTGAACATCAACCTCTATCTCACTATATACTCAAAACTGAATTCAAGATAGATCGTACAGCTAAACATAAAAACCAGAACCATAAATCTTCTAGAAAAAAATGTAGGGTAATATTTTTGAACTTTGAGGAAGATAAAGGTGCTTTGGATAGGGCCCCAAAACCATTAGCTACAAAATAATCAACCGAACTTTATCAAACTTAAAAATTTATCTCTATCAAAATACATCATTAAGAAAACAAATAAGCAAACTACAGACTGGAAATATAAATATAGAATTCATGAATATGTGCTGTATTTCTGCTACTCAACAATAAAATAACCTTAAAGTGACAGAAGACATAAACACACACTTTAGAAAAAAAGATAAATAAAAGGCCAATAAACACATGAAAAATGATCTGCATCATTAGTAATTACAGAAATGAAAATTAACACTACATCGAGATACCATTTAATATTCACTAGTATCTCTGGAAATGAAAAGAACTGGAACTCTTGTACACTGCTGGTGGGAGTGTAAAATAGTTCAACCCTTCCTAGATAAGTGAAAACACACCTCCACAAGGAAAAAAAAAAACTTGTATAACAATGTTTATACCATCTTTGTTCATACGAACCCCAAACTGGAAACAACTCAATTATTATTTATAGGAGAACAAATAAATTATGCCATATTAATGCCCCAGAATATAGTATGCATCAATAAAGAAAACACTATTGACAGATGGAATATCATGACTGAATCTCAAATATATTTGCTGAGTTAAAGGATCCAGGGGTGGGGAACCTGCAGCCTTAGAGCAAAACATGGCCTTCTAGGTCCTTAAATGCGGCCTTTTGACTGAATTCAAATTTTGCAGAACAAATCATTGTAATAAAAGGGGTGCAGCAGAGAAAGAGGAAGCTTTTCTTGCCTCCTTTGGTGCTTAAAAAAGAAGAATCTTGAAATCAGAAGGCTGCAGGTTCTCAGTATCATACTGTATGATTCCAGTTATGTGAAGTCTAAGAACAGGCAAATTTGTCTACAGAAATAGTAATGAGAAGAAAATTTCATTAGGTCAGGAGAAGGAGTGAAAGCAAAGAGTGGTAAAAGATATCAGGAAATATTTTGGGTAATAGACAAAATGTATTTTCTTATTTTATATGATTACAGGGATACGTACCACTGTCAAATACTGCAAGTTAAATGCTTAAAGTGTGTATATTTTAGTGTATGTAAATTATATCTCAACTGCATTAACAAACAAACAAACAAACAATAAAAATAAGGATTCAAACTCTTCACTTGTCTTGAAACTCCATTATCATGTTCTTTAAAGGTCACTGTCTGACAGTGACCTATCTTAGAATATTAGAGTCTAGTGGAGAAAGAGAAAACTAAGAGTCAAGTGAGAAGACAAAAATTTTAATATGTTTTTTCTGAGAAGGGGGTGCTGTCCAACTATTGCAGCAAGTGTTAACAGCCAGTGTGTACAGCACTTCGCCAGGGAAAGAACCAAGCGACACACGAAGAGTAGAACAGTCTTTATTCTTCCAGCAGGCTCAGCTGACTTTTGAATTCTGAACCCCCTTCCTTGTCCTCCTTCTGTTTTTATAGCCTTGGTAGGACTCAAAAAGCGTCCAATCAGCAACAAGCTTTAACACCCAATCAGCAATAGGCTTTAACACCCAATCAGCAACAAGCTTTAACATCCAATCAGCAATAAGCTTTAACATCCAATCAGCAACAAGCTTTAACATCCAATCAAGATCACACAGCCAGCTCAGCTGGAGAAAGGGAGCAGGCAGCCAAGCACCCAGCACCTCCCGGGACAGCAGGCTTCTGCATGGAGGCCTGGCCCCAGCAGTGCACACCCGCCACGGATTCCAGCCAGCCTCCTGCAGCCATGGCCCAGGGGATGCAGAGCTGCAGCGTCCTGGAGCCTGACGGTTTTGCCCTGTCACAACACCTAAATTGTGTTCCCATGTTTGGGAAATTCCTACTCTTGGGGATTTATAGACACAAAGTAGACATATATTTGCTCTCTGAGCTTGCCTTGCAAAGAGGATTTTTCTGGGCACCTCTACTAGATACAGACAGTCGCATGCAGTAGGCTCAGACTTCAGATGAGGAACTCGTGACACACAGAAGCAGGAGGTGGCATAGCGACAGCAGCAGCAGCAGTGCAGTTACTGCATCCAGAGATCACGTGTAATAGCGGTGACATAGCATAGCAATGAATCTGTGCTATGGTACAGGCTGCTGTCAGCCTCCTTGCTCTGGCATACTTTTGGGGTCTGAGTATCCAGCCTTCTCAGTCATTCTATGAGATATCCATTAGCCTTTCAGTAATCCAGCAAAGAGATTATGAAGAGAGCTACATAAAAGGAAGATGGCATTCTTATCTAATCTGAAAGTATTACCATCGTACTGAGCAAATCAGAACAATTCACTAACTACTTCTTATCTGTTATAACATATAATTTAAATTTTTATTCTTTCCCTTTATATTTAGTATAAAAATGCTCAGTTTGGGAAGGTTAAACTTAAGAATATCTATGCATTTTTCTTGTTGATATTAACAACTTTTAATTGGCTTATAATTGGTTGATAATTCATATTAATTTCCACATATAGGATCGTGTCATGTTGCCATTCCATCTTGTTTTAACAGTGCACTTACTCACTGGTAACTGTTTCAAATTCTCCACTCCAAAATTAATGCTTAAACTTAAAAAAAAAAAAAAAACCAACTATACATTAATTAAGCAATAAAATAAATGAACATACAATTTCACACGACTAATATAAACATATTTCAATCTTCATTAACTTTGTTGTTTAGTGAGTGTGTGGATGTACCAGGTACCATTTAAAGTACTGGGGTTACATCAGTAAACAAGTTTAGACAAGGTCCCTGCTCTCACAAAGCTTACTGCCTAGAGCAGGGCTCCTCATACTTTTTAAACAGGGGGCCAGTTCACTGTCCCTAAGACCACTGGAGAGTGTGCACTGTCGGCCCAGGAGGAGTCAGCTGCTAAGCAGGGCAAGCAGCAGCGGCAAAACACCCAGCAGGCCAGATAAATGTCCTAGGTGGGCAGCATGTGGCCCGGGGGTCATAGTTTGAGGACGCCTGGCCTAGAGGGAGAGTTGGACAGTAACAAGTAGATGAAAAGTAATATGCTTTCTTATAATAGTAAGTACATTAATGCTATGAAGAAGCATTGACATAAACAAGGCTAATGGGCAAAGAATGATTGGGCTATAAGAGTCTACATTAGAGGAGATGGGGAAAGTTCTCCCTATAGAGGTAGATGTATTCTAAGAAGTGAATGATGAAGAGGCTGCCATGCAAAGAAATCTAAAAGTTGCATTCCAAGAAGAAAGAAAAGCAAAAGCAAAAAAAAAAAAAAATTTGGTAAAGTAACACACTTGGTGTATTCAAAGAACAGAATCAAGCCTAGTCTGTCTGGATCACAGAGAATATGTTAAAGACAGCTAGTTAAGTCATGTGATTTCATTCTAAGTGTTACTGGAGGTCAACTGGTCAGATTTATGTTTCAGGAAGAACCTTGAGTCAACAAGTTATACTGTTGAGGGACAAGAGTGGAAGCAGGGAAACCAGTTAGGAAGCTAAGAATCTGATTTTGCTCTGTTGAATCTTATTGATGCCTCAAAAATTCCTTTACTCAAGTGAGCAACATAATAATAATTCGTAAGTTCATTCTTACAAGATTTCTAACATTTATGAAGCATCATATTCTGATGACAACATATAGAATTTGTTTTTCTTGCTATTATTTAAAGGAATCTTTTTTTCAGAACTGTTCATCCTGAAATATGAAACATCAGCTTTGAGTTGCTTACTACAACCTGAGGTGATCTTCCTAATCTCCTAACTGGTTAAAAGATCTCAGTTCCTTGGCACAAAGTATGGTTTTGAAATTTTAATATTACTGAATCTTGAGACTTACTTTCTCTAGGGAGATTATTTATTTATTGCATTTTAATTATTTTCAGTGTATTGAATCTAGTACTAAGTTAAGCTGACTTATATTTACCAGTTCCATTCCCCAAAAGCATCACCTTCCACTTAAATTTATATATGCTTTGCAAAGAGAAAGCACAGAAACACTCTAAGAAGTTTAATAAAAAAATGTAAATTTACAATTACAAGTAAAATTTCTATTAAAAAATTTATAAGTGAAATCTGCAAACTCAGTGAGAGTCACTCCTTTTGAGGAAAAAGGGTCCAAACATCTGGATTTGGGTGTTTTTAATTTCCCTCATATTCAAGTTTCTGATGGCTGAAAAGTAAGGGAATAATTTCCAAACCTGATAGAGAATTTTATAGAACAGGTAACATTGTAATACCTACCTTGTAGTAGATAAGAAAGAGGAGGAAGAGGAGGAGAAAGAAAATGGTGTAGTGAGAGGAGGAGAGAAAGAGCTCTTAGACAATGGATCTAAAATCCAAGCCAAGAAGCAACAAACTGATGAAGGTTCAATTCCATCAAGGTTGAAAAAGAAACTCTAACCTACCATTTCGGCCATTTTGCTTTAAAGTATTTGCAGAAAGCTGGATAGTGCTTCCATGGCCCATGTTTTCTGGAAATTTTAGGTCTTCTAAGTTTCCTTCTGTGCTCAGCCTTGCAACTTCCAATTCTGTTAACAGCAAAGAGATATTAGCGCTCACTGAGAAACATGCCAAGGCTACAATCAAGAAGTATTTCTAAAATCAAAACACTGGAATTCTTGTTTTGTTTGTCACACTTTATAGTAGTGCAATCTTATGAAAGTATATTGTATTTTAATTTTTCCAAAATAATGCAAATCAAAGCTATTAGAATCATGTAAATAATACAACTGTATCAGTAATAAAGCCTACAATTTAAAATTCAAGCCCAAATCCTTATACATAGTCATTGTCCTTAATTTTCAAAATACAATCTTGATTTTATGAATTAAGTAAAAATTATTTTATAATCTAGAGCTGTACTATCATATAAATATTGATCTAGCTTTAAATCTAATAAATTTGAGATAGCTTTATCAAATCTTCTGAAATGAAACTGTCAACCATATCCTAACCCACAATAAAAACAGATTTATACTCCTTATGAACCAAATAACACAATTATCAAATATTGTTTTATCTTCACTCAAATGACTTATTTCTTTACAGTATGTAATTCAAAAATACTATTATTATAACTAAAATAATCCATAAGCCTTGTTTTAGGAGGATACAATTTTAAATACTATAATATGTACAGAGATACATACATTCCAAAAAAATAAATGGACCTCACTATAAGTGATCTCAGGCTAATATATGCAATATTAGAATTTCCCAAGGAAGATATAACATACATGATTTTAAACCCACATAAGGCAATGACAGGTAATACTCTCCTTATTTTAGAAAAAGGACAACTTATCTTCATTGAAATAAAGCATAATTCATATCTGGGACAGCAGAGATCCTTTTCTCTTTTCCCTCTTCTGGTATGCAAGGGTCTCTGGACCTTCTGCACAACAAAAACCACTTACTAATATTGTCTGTGTTCTCCCTGACAATGTCAGTCTTCAAAAGGTTGTCAGCCAGCACAAAAGCACTTTCCTCCACAGTATCAAGCAACATGGTGGCTGCACGTAGTTGATCACTTGTAGTCAGGTCTCTCCACGCATTCAGAGCTTGCGGCTGGAGGAGGTTGTTAACCGTCTCAACCATCGCCTGCAAGAGGATGAAAAGAATGACAGAGGTCTCCAGTGAACCCACAGAGCTGTCAGAAAGCCAGGTGTACATGCTGCCCAGCAAGCAAGGATCAGCGGTGTGCATGAGTTCAGTATTGTCCCAGCCTCCCCTGTGACATGCTGCAGCAGAAGCATTCATTATTTCGTTCTGTAAAACCCTAGCTGAGATTTTGCAAGGCAAGAGGAAAACCTGTTCTTGCTTTGAAGGACAACAAATAGAGCCATGCTTGCTTCTCAGAGTCAATAGCACAGGCTGCCATAAGACTATGATCACATAATTAAATTATTTGGCTACAAAACTGTTGGGAAGTAATTTAAACCAACAGTCCAACAGTTTTACCACATCACCCAGAGAAAATGATTTTTTTTCTATACATCACCATAAAACTGGATACTGAACACAACAGAGATTAAAAGGATGACTATACACAGTAGAATCCAAGCATTTGTTGCCTAGTCATTGAGGACTCACTGAGCAAACCAATTTGTTTTTTTAGGTAGATAGTAAAATGTCAGACTGGGGAAAATATCAAAGTAAACATACTCCCATATGAAGAGAAAATTTCTTTATGCTGTTTACCATTAGGGAGGGGAATAAACATTTGGACCTCACCACCTATGGCTCTCAGGGGTTTCATCTTTTAAAAAGAAATCAGCAGTAGGTACACACACATAGAGACAAAGTATCACAGTTCTCATTGCTTTATGCAAAAGAATATTCTCTGTAGTTACAATTTATATATTTCCTGTGGCTTGCTTAATGCTGTAGGTTACAAAGAAAAAAAACCAGCTCTCTCAATAAGGTCCTGGGTTTCATTCAAACATAGAGAACTGCAAAATAGAAAAATACAATACCTGCCGTTTGAAAGTGATCATCCCTGAACCCATTCATTATGAAAGATGCATCTAATCCAGAAATAAAGTTGAATAAACAGCCAACATAGACACAGTTTCTAAGCAGCACATAAGTGTTTTAAAACAGGACCCACATTATTGACACATTGGCAGAGAGGTTGGGAGAGATGGGAGAAATACCCTTTACACTGCAGTGTTTTCTCCTGGCTGGTGTTTTCATAGTAACCAAGTAACAACTGCTAAAAATTCAGCTTCATAATGAAACACCTTGGCTGCCAATTAACACCAGCTTCAAAAACTAATTTGCCTTTTGATAAAAGTTGTTTTTCTTGATATTTTCCCAGTTATCCCAAGTTCTTGCCAAAAATCAACATCACTGTACTTTTCAGTAAAATAGTCCTGTTCACAATTTGCTTACTTTGCATCATTTTTAAAAGAAAAACACAAACAAACCAAAAAAAAAAAAAATCTTTCATGAGTTTAAAGACTGGGCATTTTCACATAGTGTGCTTAGCTCTGTCATTTGTTCTGGGTTTAAAGCATGACTTAGGAGCCAGACAAAAGTGTTTCCGGATCACAACAAAATAATCTGCTTTCCAGGAAATTCTCTATAAGGGTATTGCCAACAGGATATGCCAAAAGAGAGGTGCCAGGGGAACAAATAAAAAAAAAAAAAAAGGTTTAGATATTTTCTGAAGCCAAACAGAGAACACAGATCTCTTCAGTGCAAAGAAGTATTCTTTTAGGAATTAGATGATTCTCTGAATTCATTAAAAATGCTCTGAAAATCCCACATGCAACAGAAATTATGCATGTTTTTTATGGGACCCTCATTTTAGCTGCTAATAATCTTAATTAGTTAATAATCTTATAATAATTAAATCTTATCTCTGGAAAAAACTATTAGGGAAAATACAACATGTCTGTTCTGCCCTTCATTGCTTTTATTTTTAATTTAAAAAGTATAAATTGAAAAAAGGAAAAGAAAAGGAAACAACAATGTCCAACTTCAAGAATGTTCTAAATAAGAACCTGTTCCAAGACTAAAACATGAAGAAACAGAAAGTCTGGACAGACCTTTAACTAGTATGGAAATTGAGTCAGTAATCAAAAACCTCCCAAGGGTGGGGTGGAAAAAAAGCTCAGGATCAGATTGCTTCACTCGTGAATTCTCCCAAACTATTCTACATTTAAAGATGAATTAACACCAATTCTTCCTAAACTCCTCCAAAAAAACTGAAGAGGAGGGAACACTTCCAGACACATTTTATGAGGCCAGCATTAGTCTGATACCAAAGCCGGACAAATATACCACAAGAAATGAAAACTACAGACCATATCCCTGATGAATGTTGATGCAAAAATCCTCAACAAAACACTAGCAAACCAAATTCAGAAGCACATTGAAAGGATAATACACCGTTGACCAAGTAGGGTGTATCTACGGGATGCAAGGATAGTTCAACATATTAAAATTAATTAATGTGATACAGCACATGAACAGAATAAGAATACTGTCGCATGATCATCTTAACAGATGCAGAAAAGGCGTTTGACAAAATTTGGCACCTTTTCATGATTAAAACTCTTTACAAACTTGGAATCGAAGGAAATTTTCTTGACGTTATAAAGGCTATGTATAAAAAGCCCTCAGCTAACATCATTCTCAACAATGAAAACCTGAAAGCTTTTCCTCTAAGATCAAGAACAAAGCAAGGATGCCCAATTTCTCCACTTCTATTCAACATAGTACTTGAAGTGCTAGACAGAGCAATAGGCAAATGATAATAATAAAAGGCATCTAAATTAGAAATGAGGAAGTAAAATTACCCCTATTTGCAAATAGTATGATCCTGTATATAGGAAAACTGAAAGACTCCATTAAAAAAAAATATTCAGGAACCTGTTTACAAAAGACTGCTTTACCTAAAAAACTGTGCCTTTGCACTGATAGCAAATAAATCAAAAGTGCCACTTATTATTAATATTTATCTAAGTTTTGCAACTGAAAAGGTATAAAGTGTAATATTTTTTCATAATTATAACTTTCAAATACATTTTCAACAATTGTATCCTCCCAAGTAAAACAGAGTCCTTACACATGCTTTCTATTGAAGCCTAAATAATTTCCAAGTTTATTAAATAGAAAAACCACATTTAATATTAATATATGGCTCTAGCCAGGTGTAGTGGCATGGTCCTGTAGTCCCAGCTATTGGGAAGCTGTGATAGGAGGATCACTTGAATCCAGGAGTTCGAGTCCAGCCTGGGCAACATAGTGAGATCCCACCATATGGCCCTAAAACCTGGGATTTGGTGGGTTATTACAGAAATTTAACATTCATCTAGTCTGCTTTAAAAAATACTATTCATGATTGCTTAAGTATAATTGCAAGGCAACGTTAATACAAGGAATGAGAGATAGTATTCTGTAGTGCTAAAATCAGAGTGTGGGATTTAGAATCATATCCACTGAATTTGTACCTGGATTCTACCTCTTATTAGCTATGTGACACTGGTCATAATTACTTCTCTGTACTTCACCTGTAAATTGGGTATGATAATACAGGCATCTCATAGGATTGCCTGCCTCATAAGTGCTCAAGACGCAATCTTACTTTTACTTTCACTTAATATCATAGTCCAGAGTGGGAAGAAGTGAAATCTTCACTTAATAAGCACAAATCATGGGACAATTGCTAAGTTAGCCACATTGAAGTGAGATCCGTAAGTAATAATTCTTTCACAGTGCAACTTCATAATTCGATCACTTACACAACTCCAAAGGCCATATACTTCCTGACACTTTGAGGAATAGGAGAATAAAGGCAACATGTGTATTAAATAGTTCATAATAAATTTTCTAGAGGCTTAAAAATCTAACCCCCTTTCTGCTAGTGAGATAGCACAATTAAGTCCATCTTAGTAGCTTTATAATTATAAATTATTTAAGCTTTCTACAAGTTGCTGACATGTCCCTGTTGGCAGCTAAATGAAGGTCAACTAAGTAGTCACAATTCATTAATGATAAACGATACCTATATTTGTGCCGGAGGCAGCGGCTCAGGCCTGTAATCCCAGCACCCTGGGAGGCTGAGGCAAGAGGATCGCTTGAGGTCAGGAGTTCAAGATCAGCCTGTGCAAGAGCGAGACTCTGTCTATACTATGATAGAAAAAATTAGCCCTGCAACTAAGAAGAGAAATAAAAAAATTAGCTCGTTATGGTGGTGAGTGCCTATAGTCCCAGCTACTCAGGAGGCTGAGGCAGGAGGATCACTTGAGCCCAGGAGTTTGAGGTTGCTGTGAGCTAGGCTGACGCCACTGCATTCTAGCCTGGGCAACAAGAGTGAGACTCTGTTGCCAAAAACAAATAAAAAATAAAAAAAATAATACCTATATTTGGTTTTCCCTATACATTTGTGCATGTTTATATTTTATCCACAAACTAACATCTAGTCACAAAATAACCTTTTTTCTCAAACTAGTTATTTACATTACTTTTATTAGCTCAATGTAAGACTAATCACAGTTCAATTTGAGGGGATATAGAGGTGGATGTCACCTTTCCATTACATGGTTTACTCACTAAACTCCAAGCAACTTTGGACTATTTCTAAAAATCAAATATAAATTAGAGTCAAAAGCCATTTGTAGTCACACCAGGATCAAGGACATACCATATCTTTCTAGACATCTATTTGAATTACACAACATTACTGGAACACTTATCATTAAATTCACACCTTAGGCAAATCCATTGAACTAGTCATGTTCATTTGTGTTTTCCCAGAGTCCATTTTGATACATTTGGGGTACTCCTTAACACTTATACAAAGTTAACTTACTTTTATTATTAAATCATTAATGATATACATGATAGGAAAACTGAAAACATTCTCTTTTATTTCTTTAACTATTTTCTATGTCTCCCAAAACAATCTTCTGAAAGAATAAAGTCCTCAGATATCACCATAGTTCGGAAGGAAGGCAGGCTAAATTAGGAATTAAGATGACAGAGTTCAGAAGAAAAACTGGCCCCCAGTTTTTGTGGATAATGCAGACCACTATGAATAACAACAGTACATTTTATAAAACGTTCCCATAATGTTTTAAAGTGTACTGACG